TGCTGAACCTGGGCTAGACTTAGTATACTTGTATTGGAAATGTAGTTAGTTTTTCCTTCTCAAAATATACACGGTTCCTGATTGTTCTCTTTTCTTCACTTTTGCTCCCATTCTCAAAATAATCCAAACCCAAAACTTACAATCATCTTGTACTTTTCTTTTCTCCAAGCCAGCCATAGTACCTTTGGATACTTTAAGTGATGACATCATTATTTCCCACCCAACTCCCATGCCAGTTTTATCTTAGATTAAACCTTATTTTATTATATTAGCTCTTTGGTGCATTGCCAACTTTACAAAGTTTAAATACTTAAGTCTGATATTCAAATTACTTAGCAATTAGAACTGGACTATTTGCCATGGACTATGAATATCTTAGTTTTTACTACCTCCACATTTTGCAATAACCATTTTCTCTGCATGAAATAGGCTCCTTTCATAAATTTCAAGCTGATGAAATACAGTTTACTCTTCAAACTATAATTCCCAGAAGATTTCCCTGTCTGGCCCAGCTAGAAGCATTCTGTTCCTCTATCCTTTAAGCTCTTTTAGTTATTTACAATCTATGTCATACTAACTTCAGTTTAGAGTCTATGCCTACATGCCTTAAATTTTATGGTAATCTTCATTAGGTAGGAATACTGTCATTTATTTATCTTATTATCTTCCCCAAATGTTGCTTAGAACCCTGCACCTGGTATTAAGATTGCTAAACAAATGATTGCTGAATGAATGATTTCTCAAGCATGTAAAACTTATTTGAAGCAAAGGTGTAAGATATTAAGCTGGTGTGGGTCTCGCCATGGCAGTGCTATACAGGGCTGCGGCCACATGGAGGCCTGGGTTCAGATCCTGCACTGGAGACCGCCGAAGCTATGCAGGCCAGGCACTGTAGCATGTGCCTGGAACCCTAGCTGATGGAGATGCTGGGACAAAGGGTAACAATGGAGAGACCCTGTCAAAATGCCTTTTTCCTACTCTCTCTCTCCCCTCCTTCTTCCTGCTTGTACACTTGTGCACACACTTTCTCTGTCTTTCCCTCTTTCTCACAAAAAAAAAAAAAAAAAAAGCCAGGAAGATGGTAGAAATGGTGGTTCAAATTATGTGGCATCTACTTTAGAGTGACATTAGCACAGTAACATATAAAAGAGTAAACGCTTTAGAAAAATAGCACTTTTCTTGAGAAAAATTAATTTATACCATTAAATCATGAAATTTACATCTGCAAATGAGAAACAAAATATGTTTAGCTATTAGAATTTCTTTAAAATATTATAACAAAATCAAATGAATTTTAATAAAATACATAAAAATAAACTGAAATATATTAAAATGTCTTATGTTAACAGCAATTGAGTTGAATTTCTATGATTCTACATTGAAAATGATAACTTTGGAATTGAAATCAGCAGTGCTGTCATCATCAAATATAAACGCAGATGGAATGTCATGTAAATTGACTTACTAAACATATTAAAGTAGTGATAAAAACAAAGAGTAAACAATTTCTATATAAACCTCTCCACCTTACCTAACATCTTTACTGTGTTAGTTAAGAAAATTAAGTTATGAGGATAATTCTTTGCAAACAAGGACTGTCACATAATATCTGTACCTAAGAAAATACTTCAAAAAGAGAAAGTGCTCAAGTACTACTTATTCAGTGAATAAAATATTTAAAAAATTAAGCTAAATAATTAGATTTACCTTTAAAAATAACTTCACAGGAAAATTTCTATATAAGATACTTTAAAATATACAAGATTTAGTGTATTTTTACCACTTAGAACATAATTATGTCATATAACTATTTTGCACTAGTTTTTTATAGGTAGTAAATTTCCCTTCTAAACATATAAGACTAAAACAAAAATTTTCCCTTTAGCATTATGTTTTAATTTTCTGTTTTTCACTATAATTCTGAAAATTCCTTCCTATATGATATCTATAAGTTTTCAAGAATATCCAACTATTACTGCATTTTATCCCAAAACTATGAGTTACTCCTTTACACATTGTCCCTTTTTTAACTTTATTTTTTATTCATAATAATATGTATGTATGTACACATGCACATGAGAGAGAATGAGAGAGAGAGAGAAACTGTCAATAGGTGTATCATGCTGAGATTCCCTTTCCCCCCCCTACCCTTCAGGATCTTAGGCTGCACCCTTGAACTACCCAGGCACACAAAAGCACCCCTCCCCCAACCCTTTGTAGTACTTCATCAGAATTTCAGGTCAGCAGAGGTGGGATACAAACCCACCATCATGTAGCTTCCAGTAACTGCAGTTCAGTATGCTACTGAGCGTGGGCCATGTTCTCCTTTTTGATACCAGAGGTGGTACAAGGAGGTAGGCGAAAAACTGAAACCTGTATAGTAGCAAATCTCTGACTACTTTAAGATATCCATCTAGACAACAGTAGTATGAGAAGAGACAGGTTTGAAAGTCTGTCCTATCTTCTAAGCTCTTGTTCCCCTAGTATCTACCTGAGTCTCAACAACCATCAAAAAATCATCCAGAAAAAAACTTGAAGAAAGAGGAGCAGCTCTGTGCTGCAGCAATAATGTGCTGTCCAAGAAAAGCCAGATCCCACATAGTGACCACAGCTCAGGAATCCCCAGCCCAGTCAGACTGAAATAGCAGGGCCCAGCATCCCAGAGCTGCAGGATTGTGAAAGGGGATCAAAGCATGACTGGAGCCTGTGGAAGGTGTTCGTTTCTTTCTCTCTCCCTCCCTTTCACTCTCACATGCACAAGCATACACTCTATAGTGCATAAAGAAAAAAAAAAAAGGTTTTTTTGGGAGAGATTTTTGCTACAGGGCGCGTGCGCTCACCCGACAGACAGAGATAGAGAGACAGAAAGCGAGAAATCACCCCCCACGGGGGATGGTCACGCCACAATCCCTTCTCCTCCATTCTCCTCTCGGGATCTTGGGCATGCACGCACATGCGCCTGGCAGGAGTTTTAAGCCACTGGGTCCGGGATGCGAACCACGGTTGCATGGGAGTCCAGCGACATAGCCATTATGCTAACTGCTGGTCAAGAAAAAAAAAGTTTTAAAGTAAAAAAAAAAAATTAAAAGAAAAATTTGATAAAAGAAAACTGACATAAGAGCTACCAAATTTCAGTCCTGGTCTATCTAGTTACTGGATTGATTTGGACTTCTTGTATCCTTCAGTATCCTTAAGGATCTACTGATTAAATAACCCTGAAGAAAATCAACTATTGAGAAAAGCAGGACTCACACAAAACAAGTAGCGCGAAACAAAAGAGATTACCATAAGAAATAAAGCAAAATTCTGGGTGTTAGACTTTCTTAGAAAGATAGATATAGATATTCATAAAATACCCTCCTGTTATAGATATTCATAAAATACCCTCCAACTCAATACTAGGTACTGACAAACAGGTATCATTTAGAGTTGAGTCTAAGGTGAATAACCAGTCACATAAAATATTTTTCATTAATTACCATGATCACTTCCAATAATTTGCATTATAATTTCTGAATGATCTCCAGTTAGCAAGAACACCATTTTTTTGGGTCTTAATCATGAATCAGAATGAAATGATTGAAATCAGAACGGTTGGTTTAAAGCCTCTGCTTTTTTTGCATAATATTGGCAAGTGACTTAATCTCTGAGCTTTAGTTTCCTTATCTCACAACATTGCTAACGTAAGGATGAAATAAGATCATATTTGCAAAGAGCCTAGCTTGGCTACATATTAAGCAAGTGTTCAATATAATGACATTCTAATAAGTAGTTATTAAAACTCTTAAGTAGGGGACCAGCAGTTGGCGTAGAAGTCGATTGCGGCAGCAGTCCCGGACCCGGTGGCTTAAACTCACGTGTGTGTGCGTGCCCAAGATCCCGAGAGGAGAATGGAGGGGAAGGGATTGTGGTGTGGCCATTCCCCTTGGGGGGGAAGGGTGGGGTGATTTCTTGCTTTCTGTCTCTCTGTCTCTCTCTTTCTGGTGAGTGCATACACCCTAAAGCAAAAACCTCTCCAAAACAAAACAAAACAAAAAAACCCTCTTAAGTAGAAAATTAACATTAACAAACCCTTTGATAAAATTAAGAATTTCTGAAAAACAAGTATCTCTTGACGTGGCTCTATAAATTTATCATAAAGTGGGATAGTATATTAATGAAGAATTAAAATAATCCAATTTAATTTTTTTAAAGAACTAGTTTTTATTGAACTTTATTTGTTTGTTTGTTTGTTTATTCATTTTCATTTGACCAGACAGGGACAGAGTGAGAGAGAAAGAGGAAACGTGAGGAAGCAAGCTGCCAGGTCCAGGACTCAATCCGTGGTCAGCCACGCGGGAGTACAACGGCTTTAACCATCACTTCATCTGTTGTCCCCAACAATTTAATTTTTAATTTGCTTATTTTACTGCAGTAAGTCAATGATAAAATAATATCTCCTTGTGTTTGAGCAGTATGTTATTAGACATATGCATGATATTATGACCACTGTCATTCCATTTAGCTCATTGCTTCTCAAATCTGGCTGTACATTTCAAACACCTAGGAAACTTACTTTTTCCTTTTTTTTTGGTAAGGCTTTTTTTTGCCACAGGGCCCATTATTATTATTATTATTATTTTTTTTTTTGCTGGCCAAAGAGAGAGAGAGACAGAAAGTGAGAGGGAAAGTGAGAAATCAGCCCGAAGGAGGAATAACTGTGGCACAATCCCTCCTCCGTTCTCCTCCTGGGAACTTGGGAACATGTATCCACACATTCCTGGCATGATTTTCATGCCACCAGGTCAGGACTTAAATTGTGGTCAGCCGTGGGAGTCCAGCAACATAACCACTTTGCCATCTGCTGGGTCCTGGAATAATTTTCAAGCCACCAGGTCTGGAACTCAGACTTCAGTCAGCCATGGGGTAGTTCAGCGCCTTAAGCATCATGCCACCTATTGGTTCCCTAGAAAGCTTTTTAAAAATCTAGTCTTGGGCCAGTAAGTAGCATGGTGATTAAGGTGCTGGATTCCAACAAGGCCAACTGCAGTTTGAGTCCCAGAGCAGCAACCTGCTTTCTTACTTTCTCTCTCTCTGTTGAGCACTTGTAGCCTATAGCAAAAGAAATACTACTTCTACTATTACTACTAAAATTAAAAACAATTCTAATAAATAAATAAATTAAAATCTAGTACCTTAGTTCCACCACAAGATATTCTTATTTAATTTTTTTGATGCAGTATTTTTCTTAACATTTCTAGATGATGTAATATAGTTACATTTAGATTCTCAATAAAAGACATGAGAGGCAGCATACCATAGACTAAATAAGAATAAGTACCCAGAGAGTCAGCTGGTAGTGTGGTGGCTAAGGTGGCTGGATCCCACATGGTTCAAAGTGTGGTTTATGTCCCAGACCCAACTTGAAAAGAAAACAGAATATGTGTATTCATGCATGCCCAAGATCCTGAGAGGTGAAATAGAAGAGATAGGACTGTGATAGGACCAAGCTCCATGGGGATGTTTTCTCACTTTCCCTATCTCTCTCTCTCTAACAAAACGCATGCCTTATAGCAAACTTTAAAAAGAAGAAGAAGGGGGACCAGCAGTTGGCATAATGGCTATGTTGCTGGACTCCCATGTAGTTGACCACAGTTCAAGTCCTGGACCTGGTGGCTTAAACTCACTCTGGGCGTGTGTGAATGCGTGCATAAAATCCTGAGAAGAGAATGGAGGAGGAGGGATTGTGGCATGGCCATCCTCCTGGGGGGGGGGGTATTTATCTGTCTTTCTGGTGAGTGTACATGTCCTATGGCAAAAACTTCTTGAAGAAGGAGGAGGAGGAGGAGGAGAAGGAGGAGGAGAAGAAGAAGGAGAAAAAGAAGAAGAAGGAGAAGAAGGAGAAGAAAGAAGAAGTAAAGGAGAAAAAAGGAGAAGAAAGAAGAAGAAGGAGAAGGAGAAGAATTAGAAGGAGAAGGAGAAGAAGAAGGAGGAGAAGAAGGAGAAGAAGAAGGAGAAGAAGGAGAAGGAGAAGAAGAAGGAGAAGAAGGAGAAGAAAAAAAGAAGGAGGAGGAGAAAAGGAGAAGAAGAGAAGGAGAAGAAAAGAAGAAGAAAAGGAGAAGGAAGAAGAAAGAAGAAAAGGAGAAGAAGAGGAAGAAAAGGAGAAGAAAGAAGAAAAGGAGAAGAAAGAAGAAGAAAGAAGAAGAAGAGGAGAGTTTTTTAAGATCTAAATCTGAATTTTATCATCTGTAAATAGAAATAGTATTAGTTGTACTGGTAGATGTTATTAACCAATGAGTAAATACATGTCCAACATTTTTTTTTTTAGAGTTTTTTGCCATAGGGTGGGTGCGCTCGTTCGCCAGAAAGAATGAGGCCAAACAGAAAGCGAGAAAGCGAGAAATCACCCCCCCAGGGCGGATGGTCACACCACAATCCCTTCTCCATTCTCCTCTTGGGATCTTGGGCATGCATGCACACGCGCCCGGCGTGCTTTTAAGGCCGCGGGCTCCAGACGCGAACTGCGGTCGACTACGTGGGAGTCCAGCAACATAGCCATTACGCTAACTGCTGGTTCCTCCAACATTTTTTTAAAGAGAGATTTTTCCTATAGGGTGCATGCACTAACCAGGGAGACAAAGAGACAGAAAATGTGAAATCACCCCCTGGGGGGATGCCACGCTGCAATCTCTTCTCCAATTCTCTTCTTGGGATCTTGGGCATACATGCACACACACCTGGTGTGAGTTTTAAGTCACCAGGTCCAGGACTTGAACCACGGTCGACCATGTGGGAGTCCAGCGACATAGCCATTACACTAACTGCTGGGTCCCCTAATAATAATATTTCTAAGCAAAACACAAGTCACTGCGTTCAAACATAGTATTTATACATTCTGGACTGATTCTAGAATAAAAGGCAATGGTCATTTACTTATTAGCATTCTATTGCCATACTGACTGTGAAATAATAAAATCGAAGACAAAAGAAAATATAAAAATTATCTGAAGAGTAGATCTGGTGCTTATTTAACTAAAAGCTACGTTTCATATAATTCATTAAGAATGGAAAGCTTGGGACCAGCAGTTAGCGTAATGGCTATGTTGCTGGACTCCCATGTAGTCGATCATGGTTTGAGTCCCGGACCCAGTAGCTTAAACTCACGCCTGGAGTGTGTGCGTGCGTGCCCAAGATCCAGAAAGAAGAAAGGAGGAGAAGGGATTGCGGCGTGGCCATCTCCCCTGGGGGGGGTGATTTCTCACTTTCTGTCTCTCTGTCTCTGTCTTTCTGGCACTGAAACAAAAACCCCCAAAAAAAAAAAAAAAAAAAAAAGAATGGAAAGGAGGGGGCCAGTCGATGGTGTAGTGGTTATGTCACTGGACTGTCACTTGGCTAAGCTCTATTCAAGTCCTGGACACGGAGACTTAAAAGTCATGTTGGGCATGTAAGTGTGTGCACATGGCTGAGATTCCAGGAGTAGAATGGAGATGAGATTTCAGTGTGTGATTTCTTACTTTTTCTCTCACTGTCTCTCTCTGTCAAGTGTACATGCTCTGAAGCAAAAATCTCTTAAAAAAAAAAGAATGGCAAAGGAAAATAATTCTTTTTTTTTTTTTAAGTATGTTTCACCTTAGGGTACATGCACTCACTGGAGAGAGACAGAGACAGTGAGAAGGAAAGTGAGAAATCACCACCCCCCATGGGGATGGCCACACTGCAATCCTTTCTCCTCCATTCTCTTGGGATTTTGGCCACACATGCACACGTGCCTGGTGTGAGTTTTAAGCTGCTAAGTCTGGGACTCAAGCTGCTATTGACCATGTGGCAGTCCAATGATATAACTATTATGCCATCTGCTGGTCTGTCAATATTGGTACTCTTTTAAACAAATAAATTCTTGAGGACAATACTTCTGTAGTCCTGTAATTTATAAATCTGAAGCATAAACATTCTTTATAAAGAATTACTTTCCTGGGGACCAGAAGATGGCATAACAGTTACATTCCTGGATTCTCACATAACCAACCATGATCAAGTCCTGGCCTTGGTAGCTTGAAAATCATACTTTGGTGTGTATGTGTGCATGCCTAAGATACGGGGAGGAGGGGGGTGATTTCTCACTTTCGGTCTCTCTGTCTCAAAAGTGAGTGTACAAAAAATCTCTCTACAAAACAAAAACAAAAACAGAAACACAACAATGTTGGAAAGAAAAGATATTAATTTTAAATCAAAGTAACTAGGGAGATTATCTATTCAAACACACTTATCTCCTTACTGCTAAATCATTAGACCTGAGAGAAAGAGAAGGACATGATTGTATTGCCAAAAATACATTAAACACATGTATATGTGAATATAAAATCAGAGAAACCGAGTTTTCTGACATATACATTGCAGTCCTGGGCGCTAAGGAAGTATAAAAATAAATGTAAAATTTAATTTTAACTTATATATTGTGAAAGATAAATAAAAGCTTCATCTGTTCCTAACAATAAAAGTCTCATATAATTTTTAACTCACCCGTTTGGATCGCAGTTCACTGGTCAAAAGACTAGATTCTTCAGAGGTATTTTTATTCCCTGCTTTAAGTACATCAGGAGAAGGAACTAAGAGTTTCATGTAAGTTTCCTTTTTGGCTTGATTTACCAAAGATAAAGGTTTCACATTGGACACCAATCCCGTAGACTGTATTACACTGGTGTGTTTGTTCACAGATTCCTCCTTTGCCTGAGAGCTTTGGAAAATAAATGGAAGCTGCTGTGACAAAACCTGAGGCTGCTTCTGCTGGGATTGGAATGATGAGTGAGTCTGGGATTCAGACACGAGAGGTAATGGCTGGTGTGTTCTTTTTTCCTGGGCTTTTTCAGTTGCTTTCTGTCCATCTGTTTTTGGGTCTGAAATGCTGTGTAATAGCACCTGGAAATTAAAATCAAAAGGCAACTTCTTAAAATCTATAATAGACAAAGGATATCAAGCAGTAAAACTTGGAGGAAAAAAAGGATACTTAAAAAAGTGTTCCTAATGATTTATGTTAGATATATGAAGCTCACTAAAAATATACCAAATATCCTCTTGAAGATGTTTCTCCATGTTCTGTTCTTTCTCATGCAAAAGTAAAAATTCAAGGTAATGATTAACTTGCAATCTGTAGACTTTGAGAGTCAAGATAAATGAGTTAATAATACCTACAGATGAATGGTGTTTGGACACTGTCCATGAAACAGTTCATACCTGGTTGTTACTTTTATGTTGTGCTTCACTCTCTGAATCAGAATCATCATCTTCACTTTCTTCAATACTTTGATCTTCTTCTTCCTCTTCATCTTCCTCTAGATCATCTGAATCACTACTACTAATGCCTTCACTTGAGGTGTCTGATGATGTGCCTGAATCACTATCACTGTTGCTAGAACTTTCCATAGCTTTCTTTCTTGGTTTCTAGATAAAGACAAGTTATTTGGCAAGACTTTACTTTTGGAAAAGATCCAAGTTTCAGTAAAAGGTATGCTCTTTAATTTTCAAAAGATATTTTTGATCTCAAAATGTCATTTTATGAAAAAGAAAATGCCACATATTGTTATTATTTAACAAACTGATCCAATTAACTTATCTAACAAGAATTTTCCAGTAAAAAGTGCAAGTTCTATCACAGGTAGAATACTGACAATATCAATATGAAGATTCTTCAAAAGATTTATGGAAAATGCATACCATGCAAAGACTATGCACACATTTAAAAATATTTTGCACCGGGGCCAGTAGTAGAGTGGGGGTTAAAGGCGCTGGACTCCCGCATTGCCGACCGCGGTTCAAGTCCTGAACCTGGTGGCTTGCTTTCTTACTTTCCCCCTCTCTCTCTTTCCTTCTCTCTGTCTGTCAGGTCAAACTGGAAAATAACAATAATAATAAGTCAAGTTTAATAAAATAATTAAAAAAATATATTTTGCACCAAAATAAGCTGGTACTTCAATTCCATTTTCCACAAACTTTCTCAAGTTCCCTTGGGTGGTTTTATGTTGATCAGCTCATATGATGGCCATGTGTCAAAATATAGGACAGATTAAAAAGAATGTTTCATCAAATAAAAATTCCAGTTATGATACATATGTTGAAGTTACATATTTGGCTTTGGTCTTCTTTCTTTATGTTCATAGTCCATAGCTGAATATTTACCTATAATGAGCCAGTCTAGATGCTGGACTATACTACTGGGTTGTCAGGAAAGTCATGATGCATTTTTGCATAGGAAAAAAAAAGAATGTCATGACTTTCCCATTGACCTAATATAAAAGGCAGAGTCCTTGCCTTCAAGAAACATTTTAGTGGTAACCTAGTCATGGTGGTACAGGTGGCAGGATGCCACTGCGTGGTCCTGAGCCACATGAAAAAGCACAAAGTTCAGATCCCATATCAACCTGAACACGCTGGGCTTGCTCATGGGGCACCCTTGATCCTGGCTGGCTAGAAGGCTGAGGAAATATCACAGCATTGGAAGACACTGTCAGGAAACCTTGTCTCTCTTTCTTGCTCTTGAAAAAAACAAAACAACCACAAAGAAACATTCTAGTGGTGGTAGGTTGTGGGGATGAGTACACATCTGCTTAACATAAAGGCAAATAATTCCATATAGTAATACGTGTTATAGAGAAGATAAAACAGGTATAAAAGACTTAGGAGAAAGCTTTAGTTAGAAGCAAAGAAATTAATTATTTATATTTTGTATCAGAAAAACATAGAAAAATATGATAAAGCAGAATGACTTATTTCTGGAATATTTAAGACTCTAGAGGAAGAAGAAAATTCAAAATTGGTAGAAAGGGCCGCATAAAAGAGAAGTTTGATGTTTAAAGGATAGACAATAGTAGCAGATAAAAAGAAAAAAAAAACATAAAATGAATTGTAAATAAACATATAACAATGGAAAAGTTAAATCTCTGCCAATAGGAAGAGTGAAAAGGAGAAATGTTGGAATGATAAGGCAAAGAGATTAAGTACAGTAAGCCCTTGATAAATTCCACGTGTGGTTGGTTCAGTCAATAGAAGGAGAACCCATAGATATGAAGGGCTGACTGAATAATACACTATTACTTAGGGGCAGTTTAAGGGAATTTGCTGAGAGATAAAGAAAAATATAGAAAAAGCTATAAATTGCAAAAATAAGAAATTACAAAAGTTATTATCTTTTTTTTTTGGAGAGGTTTTTGCTATAGGGTGCGTGCGCTCGCCAGACAGACAGAGAGAGACAGAGAGACAGAAAGCAAGAAATCGCCCTCCAGGGGGGATGGCCACGCCTCAATCCCTTCTTCTCCATTCTCCTCTCGGGATCTTGGGCACACAGGCACATGTGCCCGACGTGAGTTTTAAGCCACTGGGTCCGGGATGTGAACTGCGGTCGACTATGTGGGAGTCCAGCAACATAGCCTTTATGCTAACTGCTGGTCCCAAAAGTTATGATCTTAATACACCTTTTAAAGTGTATTTCTGACTACTGACTCTACTACTCTGACTACTTAGAGATTGGGGAATGAAAGATATTAAATATACCTCTACAACAGGAGGTCAAATTGAAGTCACAGTTACAGATTACAGATCTATGCTCTCTCTTTTATCACTTCTTAATCTTGATTTAATTAAAATAAAATGTGCATATGAGTGAGGAGAGTAATTTCTGATGTGATATTTTCCTTGCAGTGACTCTGCGTGAACTGTGCCAAACAGCTCCTACAATGTCTCCTCCACAGACACACCCTTTGATAGCCAGACTATTAGTTACCATCATCCCCTGAGCTATCTCCTTCCCTTACAGTAAAGAGGTTGAGAAACTGGACAGGAATAGTGTGGGAATCACAGAATGAGGAAGATCACAGATAGACATGAAATGGAGATATTAATGACATATCAAATATTAAGACTATCATCTGTTTGGTAGAGAAACAGCTCTTCCTTTGCAATTAAAATCAATTGTGGTTCTAGGGATGTATAGCAAGACTGTCAAAATCATAAAGAATCTAAAGTTTGATAGGAGCTAAGAATGGAAATAAATGAAGAAGCTACAGTGCGTTAGCAGACAGAAATAAAATCCTTTTGTATAACTTTTTAGTTAAAGATGGAATGAGAGGCCTGCCCCAGGGAACGGTGGTTAAAGGAGTTATATCTCACATGGCTAATTATGGTTCAATCCTGGTCCTAGAGATGCAGGACAAATGTGCCTGAGCATCCAAAATCTTAGAAAAGCTTATTAATTTCCTCCATTTGATATGAGTTATATGGAAAGCTTTCCAGAATCCTCTCCTTGAAGTTTTATTGTACTACATATTTTTAATTAATTTAATATCAAGACGTACAAATTCAAGGCTACTCTGTATCAGGCATAGTTGTTCTCATGATATAAGGGTACAGAAATTGACATTAACTCTACCTTGAGGGCAAGTAGAAAAGACTCAACAAATAATGTAAATAGAGGTTTTGAATGATAAATATCATAATAAAACAGGAAAACAGGGGAAACAATGTGTGCTATGAGGTAGGGTCGGGGGTCAGGGGTCGGGGGACGAGGATTTAGATGCCGTCACTAGGTAAGACTTTTCTGAGCTGAGACCTAAGGAACAGTAAGGGCCAATCATAGAAAGATCTAAGAGAAGAGCTTTTCAAGACAAGATTAACAGCAAAGGAAAAGGCCATAAGCTGAAAATGTGTTTGGCATGTTTAAAAATGGAAAAATTAGCTAGGCCAATTAAACCATAGGGAACTATGGTTGGAAATAAGGATGGATGGACTGGAGGTGTCAGATCATTCAGCTCTTGTCTACCACGGCAAAGGTTCTATTCTGGGTGGGAGAGAACACTACTGTAGGAAATCATAACATCTATTTTATTTCCTTTATTCTCTCTATTTTTTTTGATAATAAAAATCACATACAAGTTTTAAATCTTAACCATTTTTAATGTACAGTTCACTGGTATTTAACATTCATAATGTTGTGTAGCTACCAGCGTTATCCATCTCCAGCACACTTTCCACCTTGTAAAACTGAAACTCTAAGTCAATTAAAGATTATCTCCCCAGGCTTCTTCTCCCCAGCGCCTGGCAACCATCATTTTACTCTGTTTCTATGATTCTGACCACTTTAAGCACTCCATAAAAGTGTATTTATTGTGCTCGCTTTGGCAGCACATATACTAAAATTGGAACAATACAGAGAAGATTAGCATGGCCCCTGTGCAAGGATGACATGCAAATTTGTGAAGCATTCCATATTTTTGTTGGACATGCACACAATTGCCACTGCACTGGATATGTCTACAAAGGGCAGCTGCAGTCTGCCCCCCTCCTGACCCTCTTCCCCTCTCCTTTCCCTCACCCCCATCTCACCCAGCAAGGAGGCTGATAGGCCATGAATAAAACACAACCTACATTACCAAAAAAAAAAAAAAAAAAAAAAAAAGTGTATGTATCTTTTTGTGACTGGCTTGTTTCACTTTGCATGATCCATGCTGTGGGAAAAAAAAAACAAAACAGAATTCCCTTCCTTTTTATAGCTGTATAATATTCCACATTGCCTATTTCTTCATGTCTTAATAAACACTTGAATTGTTTCCAAGTTTTTTTTTTTTTTTTTGAGAGATTTTCACTGTAGGGCGCGTGCGCTCGCCAGACAGACAGAGAGAGACATAGAGACAGAAAGCGAGAAATCACCCCCCAGGGGGGATGGTCACGCCGCAATCCCTTCTCCTCCATTCTCCTCTTGGGATCTTGGGCATGCACGCACACGCGCCCGGCGTGAGTTTTAAGCCACCGGGTCTGGGATACGAACCGCGGTCTACTACGTGGGAATCCAGCGACATAGCCATTACGCTAACTGCTGGTTCCCAATTGTTTCCAAGTTTTATCTATTGTGAATAATGCTGCTATAACGTGAATGTATGGATATTTCTTTGAGACCTTGCTTTCATATCTTTTTAGCATATTTCTAGAAAGTGAAACTGTTAGGTCATATAGTAATTCTACTTTTAATTTTCTGAGGGGCCACCATACTGTTTTCCACAGTGGCTGTATCATTTTATATTCCCTAATGTATAATATTTTTCAAATTATAAAAAAGTCCTTTTTTAGACTGTTTTAGCTGTTGTGGGAAAAATAACTTCTATGGTAGCCTTGAATTGTTTTATTTTTTCCTAAAAAGACTGATTCTTGCATATTTTAGTTTGGGACTGTTTTTAATTACTTAATTAAAAATATCTATGTTTATTCTAAATATTGGGTTGTCAGAAAAGTCATGAAGTTTTTCAAATGTCATTTATTTATATAAAGAACAAAGATCAATCGATGATATATTGCCTTTTTGTTTGATAATCTTTTGCCATCTTTCAGTGGACTTCATAATACCTTGTCTGTAGAAGAGTCTGCCTTTATCGGCCAAAAAATGAACAAGGTGCTGACTTACAGCCTCATTTGAATTGAACATTAGACCACGCAAGGAGTTTTAAAGAGGGCAGAACAAGTTTAAGTCTGATGATGCAAGATGAAGCAAGTATGGTGGGTGTGGCAATACATCCCATCTAAGCACCAATAATTTTTAACAGGCGATCAAACTTGTGTGTGGTCTTGTACTGTTGTGATAGAACACAACTCCTTTACAATAAACAGTTCTAGACATTTCTGGATGATGGATTTGTTCAAACTGTCCAATTACCCACAGTACACATTTGAATTGATTGCTTGGTTCCTTGGTAGGAGCTCTAAAAACACCTTTAAAATTTACCACACCAAGAACATAACCTTCCTCTGATGAATGTCTGCTTTTGATGTCGTTTCAGGCTAATCATCATGCAAGGACAAGACATTCCAGGTACCACGTTGTTGTAAACAATCCATTTCTTATCAACAGTTATCATTCGCTTCAAAAAACGGTAATTTTCCTCACATTTAATGAGCATATTACAGATGTTTATATGCACCATGAAATGAACTTCTTTGGGGGCCAGCAGGTAGTAGAGTCGTTAAGGTGTGGGACTCCCATGTGGTTCCAGCCTAAGATTCGGCAGCTTGGAACTCATGCTAGGAACGTGTGTGAGAGTGCCCAAAATCCTGAGAAGAGAATGCAGAAGGGAATGGAAGCATGGCCATTCCCCCTAGGGGGTGATTTCTCACTTTCTGTTTTTCTAGCAAGCAGATGTGTCCTAAAGCAAAAATCTCTCTAAAAGTAAACTAACAAAAAAAAAAAAAAAGGGAAGAAGAAGAACTTTGAGTTCACCAGGAACCCAACCCAACTATCGAGCTTGCTTATGTATCCCAGCTTCTTCAGGGGTTGTGAATGCTTGTATGATATATGTTCAATATTTCTGCAATCTCTCGTGTTGAGTAATGTGTCTTTGCCTCAATCAATGCCTTTATCTTTGTCGTCATCAACCTCGGTGGGCCTTCCTGACTGAGAAGGATTGCTGAGATCAAAATCACCAGCATGGAATTTCATGAACCATCAGTGCCAATGATGTCCTTGTAGAGCATTGTCAACGTAAACTGTACGCAACTTTTCACAAGCTTGACATCATTCTTCCCTTTACAAAAGTAAAACAGTAAAATATGGCAAAAGGCAGAGTTTGGTCTTTCATCTTCAACCTGCTGTAAAATCTCCAAAACTCAACCAAATTGATTAATTTTTTTGTTGTTTAGAATGAAGCAAGAACTGTCAGTTTTCAAATGACATAGCAATAACATAGATGTGAATAACTCTTGCACTTCCAAAAATGAACTAGTGCCACCTGTTGCAAAAATGCCTCATGGCATTTCCAACGAACCAATATAAAAGGTCATCAGGAAAGTCATGATGTATTCTTCTGTCTTTCTAGGCAAAAATGCATCATGACTTTCCTAATGACCCAATACATGCTTACTACGTGAAAGAATTGGACTTCGTAGTTTCCTATGAGAATACTTCAGATAATGTCTCATCCACATGAAGGATACCAAAATTAGTCAAAGAATACTTCTTCTCAAACTGCACATGAAAAGAACTAATAAAGTAATTTTTGAATGGTCTTAAAAATAAGTAAGTGGCATGGTGGTTAAGGCACTGGATTCCTACATAACTAACTGTGATTTGACTCTTGGACCTAGCGATCTGCTTTCTTTCTTTTCCTCTCTCTCTCATGCATGCCCTGTGGCAAAGCAAAGCAAAGCAAGAAAAGAAAGCAAAATAGAAAGCAAGGAAGCAAGGAAGGAAGGAAGGAAAGAAAGAAAGAGAAGGAAGGAAGGAAGGAAGGAAGGAAGGAAGGAAGGAAGGAAGGAAGGGAGGGAAGAAAAAATTAAATAAATAATTCTCTTTAAAAAGTCTTAAAACTAAAATATACAGGGTAAAAAAGTATAGAATTTTCCTTAGTTCCAACGCCCTTCATCTCCACTTTACTTGAACAGCCTACTACCACATATTCGAGCAAAACTATCATACAATATCCAACAGTAATTTTTTTGAAATTTTAAATTCTAGTATGCTTCCCTTTAATAGCCAATTTCTCCACAGTATTATCTTCACTTAGCTGTCTACAGACACTGATATGGTACCTTAGAATAGATTTCATTACATTATAAAGGAGAAATGTTTCTCTGAGTTTTTAGTATGTGCTCCTCATAATAGTTTTCCATTTAACAGCACTGAATCTGTTTAGCAAAATCAATGTAGGTTGCTCATTAGCACTAAGGACAAAAACTAGTTCATATCCATTCCTCCAAAGTCTTATAAAATGCCTATGCCTTGTGGAGGCACAGCCATTTTAGATTCTTATGGTATTTTAGCACTACTTCTAAGAGGTAGGATAGTGCAAGGTTTAAAAGTGTGGGTACTTAATATGTAGAAATACAGTCAATGATGTGAATCCTGGGATTTCTTCAAAACAGTATGTGAGTCAGAAACTGGTGATATGTCAGTCAGTGTGTGGCAGGCAGAGAAACTAGCAGCAGCACAGAGATAGGCCCTTGTTACTTACACTAATGGGAAGGGTCTTGAAACAAACCAGAATGGAAAAGAACCAAGAGCAAGTCAAGAGCAACAAGTGGTGATTATGACCCTGAAACCTGTGTCCCTGAGGGAAACCAACCAAGAGTCATTTATCATGTTTGCTCTTACTAACAGAAAGAAAATGTCTTGGGGCCCTGATGAAGTTTTTGTGATAGCATTAAGCTTCTTAGCATCATCAGATGACTTCTCCCTAGGTTCTCACATGGGTGTGCTATACTTTGGAAAAATATCTATCTTTTGTTGAGATGGGAACTGAGAGATATAGAGGAAGCATCTCTACAAGATATGTACGGAAGAAGAAAAGTCCAGAACAATGCCATCTGCAGTCAGTGACTCATATCTTTCTGTTCTTGCTATGGTATCTCAGAAGTTCCAGACTGTCTTTGACATTACAGTTGAGACAGTATGTTTCAACATTTCTAAACTTTTTTGTTCTAAAGTATAGGCTCTGGAGTCAGCCTCTTGGCTTCAAATCATGGCTGAGCCATTTACCAGATTATCTTGGTAGTCTACTAACTCATTTATAATAATAGTAGCTACCTCACTTGGAATATAGAGGACTGAAAGAGATATTACACATAAGGCAAACTCATTCTAATGATAGTAGCTACTTCATTTGGGATATAGAGAGGACTGAAAGAGGTATTATATATAAGGCAATTAGAGCACAGCTGGTACATTATTCAGTAAGTATGCTATACATTTTAGTCATTATTTGTATTATTAATACTGTGCTGAAAGTTTTCATCTTAAAATATATAACACTAGTACCATACTATAAAAATAAACATCTGCAAAAATACACATTGGTAATTCATAAGAAATTAATCCATACATTCTGGTGGTTTGACTTTTAGAGTGCTTACCTTACATATAGATCTGCTCTATATTTTTCCTTCTAAGAATAACTCACCTTATCTTTGATTTTGTCAGCTCTAGCATCCAAGGGCTGGTTTTTGCTTTGTTCCTGATTACATTTTCGATTTCCTCCACCTGAGCTTGTACTTTTAGTCTGTCCCAAGGAACTTGAAGCAGTAGTGGATAGTACAGATGTATTGACACCAATTACGGATGATGTACTATTTCCATTTATTGACCCATTTAAACCTTGGGGAAAAAAAAAAGTATGTTTACATGATGGAATATTACGCAGCCATAAAAAGGAATGAAGTATCAATATATGTACAGTGTGGATGAAACTTAGAAACACTGTAAGTGAATGAAGCCAGGCACAAAAAGGTCACATACTGTATGACTCCATCTATATGAAAGATTTACAACAGGTAAATCAACAAATGTGGAGTAGAAACTGGTGGTTTTCAGGAACTAGCATAGGGAGGAAAGAAGAGCAATTGCTTAATAAGCATGAGGTTTCTTTTAGAGGTGATAAAAATTGTTTTGAATCAAGAGAGGTGGTTGTTGCACAACACTGCAAATGCATTAAATATCAATGAATTGTTCACTTTAACATGGTTATTATCACGTGAATTTTACTTCAATGAGAAGAAAAGAAATTTATAAAGATAACTAAAAAATAATTACAAATATTCCCTTTTTTGAGCAAATTCCCTAAAACACTAAAATAAAAAGACTATAAACTAAAATGCTACTATGATTTTCAAGTGACATCCTAATAGCTGTTGTTAACTAAAGGAATATTAATGATCAATTAAAGAAAAAACAGAGTACTAGGATATTAGTTTTAATGAAATTAATGCTTACTTGCACAATTAGCAGCATGTTATATAGTGCTGCATATCAGGAGGTAAAGAGACACAAGGGAAAAGACATGAAACCGGGTTAAAATCCTGACTCTACCACAACCATATGTAAGCAGTATTTCCTTGAAAATGTTATTTAACCTTGACTACAAAATGAGAATACTGCTGGGAACAGCAGTTAGCGTACTGGCTATGTCGCTGGATTCCCACGTAGTCGACTGTGGTTCACGTCCTGGACCCGGTGGCTTAAAATTCACGCTAGGCGCATGTGCATGCATGCCCAAGTTCCTGAGAGGAGAATGGAGGAGAAGGGATTGCGGCATGGCCATCACCCCTGGGGGGTGATTTCTCGCTTTCTGTCTCTCTGTCTGGCGAGCGCACGCGCCCTATAGCAAAAACCTCTCCAAAAAAAATTGAGAATACTCCTAATTTCAGAGAATTATTGTAAGGATAATTCAAGATAAAGTGAAATTGCTTAGAATGATGTCAATAAAAATATTATTAAACCTGATTTTACTGAAAGTAAGGATAAGAATGGAAGATTTAGAGTATTTCACTTATGCTAATATAAATACCTTTTTCAGGACCATTTCGATTACTTTTTCCTGAAGTCCTTGAATGGAATGAAGAAGAATCATGATTCTGGGCTGGAGGCGCAAACAGTGGTGGAATTCCCAATAATGGTGGAAAGAAGGCTGCCCCTGTACGAGTATGAACATCTGTTGTTCGCCACCATTCTGCACCTCAAAACCAAACAAACCAACCAAACAAAAATATTTGAATTAATTTTCTAGTTAATTTAACAACTGCTTTCAATATTTTATTTCTGAAACAAATATTTCAGTTTTCATCTTGGAACAGAATTTGCTGAAATACATATTGTTCTGATCATTTTTCTAATTGTAAACAGTGAATCAGAACTTACACACTCATCACTCTTATTAGACCAGAATCAAAGGACCTTAACTTAGCAGCTTCTCCATGTTCAAGGTTATATAGAACAAAGGTGGTTCATAGTTTTAAAAATTAAACTGAAACCTGGAACATTAGAGAACTTTATGACTCTTTGCTGACTTTTTTTTTTTTTCTAAATTAGTAGGAAAAAAAAACATTGAACACTGTTTTAAAACCTTGGAATTAAAGGTTACATGTACAATCTTTGTTAAGAATTTCCTCAAATCACATACAATATAAAGTTGCCTCTGATGAATAGGTAGTCTAAATAATAGCAGAAGGCTACTATAACCCAGTATACATTACAAATACATTTATGAAAGAAAAATTCTGTAGTCAAACAAAAACATAAATACAGCAAAATCAGGACACTTTTCTTTTTTTGGTTTAAGACATAATTCTCAAACAAAATTTCAGAAATAACCAATATTCATTAAAATGTATAAACTTTATAAAGTTCTTCCCAGTCCTGAATCTTGTTTATACTTCCACTCATAAATTATAGATAGCAATTATTTTACTGATCTAGATTATAGAAAATCATAGAATATGATTTAGATATTCAAACAGTGGCTCTTAGGTTAAAACGCTTAGAAAAGGAAATATGCCCAATTTTATAGAAAACATTTTTCAAGGTAAGATGAAGATTAAGATTTGAAAGTAATTCAAGGAAAATCTTCTACTATCCCCATCTAAAATCTTAAAACCAATCTTCTCCAAATGGAAAAATCACTACAATGCCAATTAGGGAGCATTTTCAGACAAGTCTTTCAAAATATATGGAATTATTTTCACTGAATGTAAAACAAAATTAGAAGGAAAAAAACACACAACAGTACAGTATGGAAAAAACTCAATATTGTCAGTTTATTATATTACATGATCTTTAATGCCTTTCTAGGAACAGCTCTTCATTAAAAATAGAGTATCTGGCTCAGTTGTTGTGGCATAAATGGTAGGGTGTCACTGTGTAAGTAAGGCTGGGACTACCTGGGAGGCCCAGCTTTAATTCCAGCATCTGCCTAGAGAGGCTGGATGCGATTGTGCAGACCTGAACTAGCTAGGTGAGACTCAAGCAGGAGGATTGCCTATGGGAGGCTCAATCAAGAACCTCTCTCTTTCTCTTTGTTTTTCTTTCATGTGTGTGTGTGTGTGTGTGTGTGAGAGAGAGAGAGAGAGAGAGAGAGAGAGAGAGAGAGA